TAAAAAATATTTTTATTATACTTTTCGATAATTTTGTTATTAAATAAAATTTAAAAAAAAAATATTAAAACTTTCTCATAATTTTTGATATTTACAGAAAGCATAATTAACTTTTTTCTGTAGAAATTTGTAATATATGTAACATTCTTACACATATTGCTTGATTTTCAAAAAACTTATAAAAACAAGCATCCTTCTTTGCAATATTTTTATTAACTATAATTGAAGTTATTCATTAGAGAACATAAATATGCTAGCTGTTAAACTTCAAATAAATATAAAAAATAAATTCACGTTTTAATATTTGTCTAGTAGGTTTTTTCCTTGTTTTCCAAAGTTTTGATGTTGTCTTAATTAGAGTAACATTATATCAAATGTAATTATAATATTATATAAGTACATACAGCCATACATAGTATATGTGAATAAACGTAGAATCATGTGAAATTTTAAATATGCCGTTTGTAATTTTGAAAATTTATAAACCTAAAAATGCTTATATATTTTGTGTATTGTAATAGTTAAATTCTATACAAATTGAAATGCATAACATTAGGATATTACGATTTCCGATTTTAATTATATGCTTTACAAATGAAATAAAATTTGTAAAATATCCGAAATAATTTTATTTTTACGCTCTGATGTTTAATCTATATGATATTTTTAAAGTTTATTTCTCCTAAGATTAGTAGAATCAATAAGATCAGTTAATAAATTTTGAGTAAATTTTGAGTAGCGAAGCAAAATTTTATAGGTTGACATTTCGAGCATAAACAAATTTTTAAGAAATTTTAATTTTCTATTGAAATGTTAGATTCCGAACTATCATAGCTTCCTAAAATAATCTAAATTAGTTTTCTTTACTATAGTCCTTTAAAGAGAAACACTCTAAAAAAAGAGATAAGCTATGTACAAAAAATTTTTCATGATAAGATAACGGATTATTGAAAATAATTGTTTACGAATGTAGCATAAGTCTATTCGATTATTTTTAAAATTCTTAAAGAAATTATACAATAAGGCTTCAGATAGACATAAAATTTTTTGTTTCGCAATCACTACTTGATTGTAAGATCGCTGCGGCCACATTACGGCACTAAACTATTGTGTCAATTCAAATCGAGTTCGTTTAATAAAAATTGCAATGAGTTTGATTACTAAACAGTATGCGATCATACAGTTTCATGTGTGCACCCTTGAATATAAAACTATGGAATTCGAATGAGCAATCAAGCAGTTGCAAAACTAAAAATTGCATGTTCTATACTCAGAATCATGTATAACATTAACGTATTACATAATTTGCATTTCAAAATTTTTCGATTTAAAAACATTTTTGAAATTATAAAAAATTTGACATTTTTATTTTCCTATAATATATTTGTGTGAATTTAATTCAGTAAAAAATTTTTCATACATAATATATTGATACATATTGTTATTTACGTGAAACATAATTGCTAATTATTATGTACATAATTAATGTATATAAATATAATTTAAATATTTTTCTTGAAATTAATATCTTGTTTACTTCAATTATATTGTAAATCAACAAAAAAAAATTATTGGGTTTTTCATTAAAAACAAAATAAGACTGAAACTCCGACTTTTCTTTTAGAAGGTATTTTTAATTTTAAAGTAATTGATTTAAGCCAACGTTCTAGTTTAATAAAATATTCTTTCAATTAATCGAAAAGTGATTCTTTTGAACGATATAGACTTAAACAATAACTTATCTCTTAACTACAATTTTTGGTATTCTCAATTCAACATTAAAAATCCTTATTATAAATTTCTGGGAAATTTTATTTAATTGAAAAATGTTTCTAAAATTTTTATTATTTTAGAGGATTCGTGGATTTTAGTATGGTCAAATAATGTTATTAATGGAATACAAAAAATTTTAATATTGCAAATTATCAGGAAGATTGCGCTTAAAATGTTATGTTATTAAATAAATATTTTGAACAGAGAGACAGACTAACAAATATCAATGCTAGGGACATTTTTTTCTTTAATATATTTAAAACACACTTCGAAAAATAATCCATAAGGCAAACGATAAGAGATATAGCATTTTTTAACAATTTTATTTTGTAAACCAAAAATCTTTCAAATTATAGAAATATTTTTTTGTTTAACAAACAAAAATATTTGTGTTAAATAAATTTTTCGTAAAACATTTTCATTACCTTCTGTTCCTTTTCTCTATTATCATAACTCATCCTGTTCATATACTATGTTATATTTGTTTTTGTACCAATCTCGTATAACATTATTATTAGATTATGAAACAGAAAGATCTATCTCTATACTCTATTTGATAATATCATTTCTTAAAGTCTACGCATAATATTCCAATGGTGTTTATTATTTTATTGTGTACCACTCAACTAGATATGATACACGAGCATTTGCGGTACTATATACACACATAATCATATATATCTACATAATATTATACTTGTGTATTTCATACATTAAAATATTGTTTGTTTCCCTGGTTTTTTTATTTTTTTTTGATGAATCGATTTTTAAATATCTTGTATCGATTCATTAATCATTTCGATTACTTTGTGCGGTTCAATAAATTATCCATTCATTTCTTATAATATTGAAGTTATGTTGAAGTTAAGCCTCTTTTGTTAATATAAAAAAAAATTTTTTTGATGAATTAACTTTTCATTTACACACACTCTTCACTAGACGGATAACGACAATACGAGTATAATAAAGAAAAAGAAAATTTTTTTTTTGAATATGTTATTTTTACCTATTTACTTACGAGTACATAATAGCAAGTTGCCTATGGTACCTACAGATTTGTGATATAGTATACATTGAGTATATAAATGCGGTCAAAATGTGGACTCAATTGGAAGAAGAATGAATGTCGTTAACATCATATACACTATAATTATAAACTATGTGAATTGCGTTATAAATCAAAAGAAGCCTAGTTTGTTTTTGTATTATTGATTGAAATTTTTTGTTATTGATAATATCAAACAAAAGTTTAAGACAATTTAAAAATGGTACGAGTAGATTATAGAAGATTCAATGCTAACTGCTATAAACGACATTATTTTCAAATGTTGGTACGAACAGTAATAACACGTGCCTATAATTAAAATTTTCGCTATTATGAAATGGACATTATTGATAAATAAATTATTCTGAAATTAATTAGTAGACAAAATCCATTTAATTTAATTTAATTAAAAAATAATGTTGGTACATTAAAACGTGTATGTACAAATATGTTATTTTAATTTCATTTGCTTCTCAAATTCGCTCAATAACCATATACATACTACGACACTGTACGAATTCAAATTTTCCATTTTCAGATCTTTTGTGTGTAAAATCTTGAATTATCCGGTACAATCCGAATTTTTGAATATAATGAAGATTTGCATTTTTGTAAAATAATAAGTCCATTGTTAAACAACAAGTAATTGCAAGTTTGATGGTTGAATGGTGCACGCATCATGCACATTAAACTCTTCTTAATAAGTGAAAAAAACTATGGACAAAATTTATTTGTAACAGTAGTCGTTATGAAAATGCAAGGCAAATTTGAGCATATCTTCCAATGAGTTACTGTATTTATAAATTACATAATCAGATATAGGTCAATGAAAACTTTTTACTTCAAGATTCCTAGTCAAAAATTTGGACATAATAGCTTAAATTCGATAACATTTTCTGGAAAATTTCTATAATATTTCTGAAATTCATATAAGTTTTGGCTTTCCTATTTTTCTAAAATATTATTTTATATGCAAACTAACCTCTTAGTAATAAATTTGAAATTTCAATGACAATTTAATTTTTCCTAAAATCTACTGTATTTTCTTGTATGAAAATATTTTTCATATCCTTTTAATGAAAAGCGTAAAAAGTTCAAAAAATTTTAAATTTTTCAGACAGAAAATTTTTAATTATTAATGTAAGCCGATTTATTTTCAATTTCATTTTGATTGTTAAATATTTTATTTTAAAACTCATTTTACTTTTCATTTTAAGCCAAAGCAAATTACTCTCATTATCCTTATTTATGTAGATACTATTTACAGTATTGTTATGGTTACAAGAGTTTTTTTCCAAAAACATTATTGCTAAAGAGAAATGAAATAATTCATAAAAAAAATTTATAATTCTATAAAATTGAAAATTCCTGCAGCAACTCCAAATAATATAAATTCTATACTGTACTTATTTAGATGGTGACGAATTTCAATTTTTAATTTGTTAAATGAAATTTAATTTGGGAAATCTGTTAATCTGGAAATTTGCAAAATTTTAATTTTCGAATACTTATATTGTTCCACCTTTTCAAATTTAAATGATAGTAAATTTTCTACAAAGAAATGCTCTAATATACCACAATAAAAGTGTTAAACACAATATTATACCACATTTTTCACAGCGTTATAAACAACTTTGAGCATTACATTTTACTACTATAGCAGTTCTTTTCAAAATTATCACAAATTCATAATTTTCCCATGATTCATATTGCATTCGTTTTAAAAATTACAAACGTCTTCTACTTTAATTTTCCGAAAAATTCAGTCATACAAAATGATGAATTTTTGAACGTGTGTTCGTTGTTGTAATATCACACATTTTTGAAAATTTACTACTTTCACATAGTTCTTGAAGTAAGTGTAATGCTTCGAGCCCTTTCTCATTATTTCAGACTATATAATACTCGAGAAAAAATAATCATCGAGAAAAAATTGTATCGAATAAAACATGTAACAAATTCCCAAGATTTTATGGTAGTCATTTCAGTACAGATTTCATGTTATGTAGGCAAACACGTCGTTTTGTGTAGAGTTGTACTTCTAAATTTTTTGGATCCGGAGATTTCATTAAAATTTTGGAATACATTAAAATACATTAAAAATAGCTTTGTATGATTTAAGCAAAAGTACTTATTTATAAAATTTTGCTAATATTTAAATTTTTTCTTTTTTGTATTACAGATTCACCTCGTTGTAAACCTGGAACTGAGCAAACAACTGTTGGTGCTATTAATTCACAAATTTTAGTGAAATGTGAAGTTGATGCTGATCCAGCCGATTCTGTTAAATTCAGTTGGACATATAATAATACTAGAAATGTTTCTCCAGTAAGTTTTGCCTTAAAAAAATATGCTTTTCATGAAAACTATTTTCAAAATTTGGATTCCTTATAGTTATTAGAAATCAATTGAAAACAGTCATATTTCCGTTACAAAACATAAAATTTTATTAAATAAAAGAAGTCAATTAAAACCAATTTATTTTTGGAATTTTTCTCAAAAAAGTAATTTTTTGAGTAGTGATTGATTTTTCTGCAAAATCACTGAAAAATTTCCAACAAACCTAAAACTGTTTTTTGCTTACTTCATACTACCTATTTTTACTATCTATTTTTACTTGATTACAAATATTGAGGTTCATTGCATTGCTAATTTTGAAAGTAATTTAGCACCAAATTGTAAATTTGCAAAAAATTTTAAATTTTTATCATCTTAGAACAAAAAATATTTTACATAAAATGTTTTTGCTTAAAATATTAGAGTTTTTCTTTTAGAGTAAAACTTTTTATTCGAATATTGCAATTTCTTTTTTTGAATCTATAAAAACATGTTGAAAAATTTTTATTAGTTGGGTGCTGCTATCCTTTTTAAAATTTGTAAAAAATTTCACTGACACATGAAACTATAGAACATTTCTTTTTTTTTGTTTTTCACTATTATTAAAAGTGCTAGTCTTTAAGAATTTCTCTTCTAACTGTAATAAATCAGAACCGAAACGATATTAGCTTGTAATCCAAAATGCAAATCACTTTTGAAATAGTAGACTTGTTAAATTTAAAACTAAAATATCTTTTGACAATTATTCCCGTAATTTTTTTCCATTGTAAATTTTCTTGTTTTGTTTTTTTTTTATTTTTTTTCATTTTTTCATTTAAAACTTTTAAAGTTGATTTCGAAAGAAAATTTTATTATTTTCCAAAATATTTTTTATATTCGATTGCAAGAAACCAATGGTGAAGTAATCAGAGAATAATAAAACAAAAAAAAACTTTTTCAACAAAATTGCATATTTTTAGGGGACGAAAGAAGACAAAATTTGAATTAGTGAAAAATTGTTTTTGGAGGTTTTCAGTTCTCTACAAAGAAATAATTTTAAATTTTAATATTTTTTTCTTCACTCTCCAATATTGATCTTTTTTAAGGATGTCATTAATGCTTTAAATTATTTCTAGATAAAACTTGTATAGAAGAGAATATAATTTCTTATATTAAGAACTCTACATAATTATAATAATATGTTACATGTAAATTTTATATACTAACTGTATGTTAATGGAACAACGATAGTAATGTAAACATGTACATAAATTTTGTAGCTAGATTCGAATTAGCTTTTGTATTTAAAAAAGTTTCTAAACTTATTCAAAGTTAATAATGCCTATATAATATATTAACATGAAAATGTACGAGTATACGTATACATAGATATGTAAAATAAATAATATATGAAAATGTAACATGAAGAAATCTTGTAAAGTTTCATAGGTATTAAATAATACAGTTATAAGTCATGCTAATAATAACTATTCTGACATTGTATATTATTTTATATTATGTAGGTACATAAAATTTATACATTTATATATTATTATATTTAGGTCAATGAACATTTCTAATATAATTGGAAAATAGTTTTTATGGGACAAGAATGCAATTGTAATGATACCATATGGTATAATTTGCAATGACTAAGTTTTTCTAATCCTATATAAGTACACAAAAAAATTAAAACACGTACGTATGCATACATTTATATTATACAATTATACAAATTATACGTACATACACATACAAATACAATATAGTTTCAACAGGGAATAATAAAAAAATTTTTTTTTGAACTTTGATTGTTTAAGGATATTAAGGGTTATGAAAAAATTTCGAAAATTTGTTAAATTAGTAATAACAATTAAATGAGGTTCCGTTAGCCTTGGTAATTTTAGTTTTGTTTTTATTTTTATATATGCTTCTTGAATTTTCCTATTATAAAAATTTTCTGTATATTCTCTAAAAGGTATATAGCACCGTACCTATTTGAATAACAAAAATCATATGAAATTATTTTAGTTTTTGGGGATAAAAAAGAATTTCATAATATTGAAAAGGAATTTTTATTTCAGTTTATATGCTTTTTGCAAAATTAAAATGGTATTCTAATTTTAATTTAATCTTTTATTATAGCACATATAATTTTTGTTTGATTTTGTAGTAGTATGAAGGTTAAATTTAGTGTATATGAATTTTTGTTCTCTATAAAAAAAAATTTCTTTTAATCTTTATGAAACTTTTATCTGCATTGTATTGAAACAAAAAAAACAAAATTCAAGGATAAAATATGATAATTTTTAGATAAATACAATTTCTGTTAGGATTTTAAAATGATTTCTAATATAAAATATCCAAAATATTTAAAAAAAATCAAAATTTACTTCAATATGAAACTAAATAACTTTTTGATCATTCACTTGTAACGAAATCCTACAGTTATAAAGGTATTTAGGATACTTTTTGTACATTTCAAAACAAATTGGAGAAAAATGTTAGCAAATTTTTGGAATGCTCATATTTCTGGTATTATAATATTACCCTAGAAATTTCTGTCCAACCAGAACGTATTTTTCTCCCAAAAGTATGCAAATAGAAGTTTCCCAAGAGTTAACAAAAGATTGTTATTAACGAAACATATTCTTAGTTCTTCTTTTTTTTAGATCAGGTGTTTTCATTACTGCTATTTAAAATCCTTTTAACTGGGATATACTGTTTTACAAAACTATTATCCGAATTTATTTACTGATAATATATATACAGAGTGATTCAGAAAGGTATACAACAACATATATCATTGATTAGAGGATCGAAAATGGGTAAAATTTTTGTTCCAGACTGGGTGCCAAATCTCAAGGGTTTCCGAGTTTCAGGGTTTTTAACGAATTTTCACGAAATTTTTTACTTATCCAAGTTTTTTCTTCTAAATCACCCTGTATATATATTTCGAAAATTAACATTATTGTCACATTCATATACCGCAATTGTTTTAAAAAACTGTATTTGCCATTAGAAAAATTTAATTTTTTTTGAAAAATTTAAGTTTCGTCCAATATTTTCTTTGATAATATTGGACTGTAGAATTAAGAATCAGACAATAATCTCATTTTCACTTATAATATAAATATAGTACAAAAAAATATTAAGAAAAGCTCGTACGGATTTGATTGACATTGCATTATTTCTAAATTATTTATAAAAAATTTTTATTTCTTGCACTCATGTAAACAATTTAAATTCATAAAGAGTATAGTTGTAGGTTTATTTTATGGATTTATACACCTATCTAATAAAAATATAACATAAAATAAAAATTGAGAATAGAAATCCATTCATTACATAATTACTTTTAAATCAAATTAAATATTAAAAAGTAAAATTTAACCATAATAAATTAGAAAACTTTGAAAAAATTTCAAATAACAAAATTAAAATGTAAAAAATGCATATTTTGCTCGAAACTTTTATATTTTTCTATTTTTTTTTTGTCTACTTTATTTTTCTCTATATAAATTTCTGTTTTTGGTATCTAAACTTCAATCTGAATATAAAAAAAAAAAAAAAAAATAATTGCATTTTCATCAAGTTTTTATCAGAAAAAATTAAATTAAGAGAAAAAAATTTTTTTTTCGTATTTTTTTTTTATTTTTCTTTCTTATTTTTTATATATAGGTTTTGAACTCTCGTACTCAATCACATGGACTTGTCAGCACAATGCAATATCAACCACAAACTGATTCTGAACTGATTACTTTAGCATGCTGGGCAAGTAATGCTGTTGGACGACAAACAACACCATGTCTAATTCATATATTGCCTGGAAGTAAGTATATTTTATAAATAACGTATAAGAATATTCAGCCATAAAAATGTTTGTTTAATATACTACAATTAATATCGATATTATATACATACAAGTGTATACATTAATGCTTGAATACATAATACAAGAAAAATTGTATATGAATTTAAAAAATTGAACATATTAAAGTCAAAATAACGCATTATTTCCCAATAAATTACAAGAATATTTAAAAGTTAATTTTCTCCTTATTTTGCTCCTACTCACTACATTCATGTACTTATATATAAAAAAAGAACAATGCTTGTGTATAGCTGTACGTAAATATATGAATCAATAGCCATTTGCAAAAAAAATCTGGTTACTTATATATACATACAGCACAATTTATATTATGTACGTATATATGAGAATTCACATAGCTTTGAATACAGAATTTTAGATATTATTTATAAGAATTAAGTGAAGGGAAATTTATAAGAAAAGTTTCATGAAGTTTAGGTTATGACAGCATGAGTTAAGTAACTTATGTAGCTATGGTTATTAAAATTTTCTGTTCTTTTAAATTTTTTTTTTGTTTTCGTTTATATATAAACGATAAGGATGTGTTGAAAGAAGTCACAGTATTATAAATTTAAAGCTGCTGAAGGAATCATAAAACTCTAAAAGATCCATTATAAATTGTAAAAAAAAAAAGCCATTTAGAAAAAGTTATTTTAAATATATATATATATATATAAATCTATATGTACATTTATATATACCTATAATATAATAATGTTGTACATAGCAAAATTGTATTTCTGGCTTAGAGTAAAAAAAACTAGAATTCATGTAAATTATTTTACGTAAATAAATAAAAATGCAGGTAAACTTCTTAAACTTTTGCATATCTATATGCTTATATAATAATATGCTTGCATTTGAATGACAAAAACAAAAACTTGGATAAATTTAAAACCAAAGTTTAAAAAATTGTATTAAAATTTTGTAGGGTAAAAAAAACAATAGCAATTTTACTTTGAAAATAATTTTGTAAGTTTTAACAAAAAGTTAAGAAGTTTTCTGATGAGTTCTCATAACTCTATTATTTTTAAAGTAATTTTTAAAAGAAATATGTAATTAACCACACATACATACGTACATTTATATAAAAAAATGACCGACATAGGGAAACTTTTAAATATTAGCCATTGAAAATATGTCCAATATTTGTATACAATAAAATTTCAGTATGAGAGTAATAACATCGCTATGTACTTTAAGTCTCAAAATCAGTCAGATTTAAATTAAAATTAAGATTAACACACTCCGCTTCGGTAATTCCACAAACCAATCTAACACTGCTAATTGACTTAGGTGATTAAGTCAAGTAAAGTGTGAATATTTTTGAATAAGAGGAAGTTATAAGTTTTTTCTTTTGAGTTGTCGTCGAACAGGAAAATTACTCCAAAAATTAAAGAAAATAACAAATAATATATATGAAATAAATTGTGACTCTTTTTGGGTGGTAGTGACACATTTAATTTTGTTTTTAATTGTAAACCCAAAATATTTATAATCGAGACGGACGGACAGGCTGAAAACAACAAAATTATGCAAAATTATGAAAAATATTAAATATTTTCCAAAATATTGCATAGTTCCTTCTCAGTAACAGCTAATTCTTAAATTCAAGTTAAGTAAATTGTATAAATTTGATGAAATTTTTGATTTCCTATTGGAATTTTAAAAATAATGAAATTAATTCAAAAAATTGTTACAATTAATATAAATTCAATAATTATTATTTAAAAATCATTAATAAAATTCGGGGAATAAATTCCATTTCTTTTTCTGAATTTCTCAAAACTACATAAGTTTTAAGGTTTGCACTGAAGTTTATAAATTTTACTGTCTAAAAAAATAATTCTTTGTTGTCAAAAGAATCCACAACTTCAGATTCTAATTTACTAAAAAGTACTTACTTTAATTCATAAATCTTAATCTTAAGTATTTAGAAATTAATTAAGCACATGTTCTTTCGCACATCAGATACTGGGGTTTCTTTTCAAAAACTAAAAAAAATATTTTATTTATATACAAACTATTAATTTCTATAGAAAAACATTTTTGTTTTTTAATACTTTCTCAAATAATATTTACTTATAATAACATTTTCTCCCCTTTTCGCAATTTTTTATGTTACAAGCACTTCATCCACATTCTTATAATTTTAAAAGCTAACAAGAAAATAAGGTTACAAAAGACGAAGTTTATGTGTGTGCATATAAGAGACCCTTTATGCACATACGTTATATAAGAAAAAAAGAATCAAGTAAACTTAAAATTATCCATTTCTAATAGAATCCTTTACGGATCACTGAATACTCAAAATACATGAATAATATTAGCATTGTTATCTTGTAGCATATAGAAACAAGTATAACAAGCTTTCTTATTCTTCTTTCAGAGAATCTGAAAGTTACAATATATTTAATATAAGAATGCTACTTTGACTATAATTAGAGCTAAATAAAAATATTATTTATATTATTTTTTTTTTAAAGAATAAAGGTCAGTCTGTGTATTTGATTAAAACACACGATGAGAATGCATTCATTTTTATATAAAAGCGTTTCTATAAAAATTATAAGACTAAAGAGGGAAATTTCTTGTAATGAATCCTTTATAGAAAAGGATCACTTTTATCATATTTTTTCTGTTCACTAGATTTTGTAACGTTAAAAAAGTTTCAAGTGACTTTTCTTTTTATTTTGCTTTTTTATTTTTTCTCTCTTAGGAAAGACTTTCAAGTGGAATAAAACTTTATGACTTTTTGGTGTTTTGTGCAAGTTTTTCTAGATATTTTCCTTTTTTTTTTTGAACATTACTTTTCTTTTTTTTTTTAAATAAAAAAAAAATTGAGTTTTTTTTCATCTTAAGTTTTAAAAAATATTTTCATTTTCTTTCTATACACACTTTAAGTTTTCCTTTATTTCTTTACATAAACAGATTTTCCGAGAAAATTTAATTTTCTTTATTATAAACTTTTAAGTTTATACTAACACATATACGTACTTAAAATGTTTTCTTTTTATGTGAACATAAACAAATGCTGCTATCTGCATTTACACATGGGTACGTAGCTGTGTAACATAAATAAATATTTATTTGTATGTATGTACATTCATTAAATTAAAGCTTTCATTCAATTTTTTCTTTTCAAAACAAAAACAGAAAACAGGACCTTATCCTTCTAAGTTAGTGACGTCGGGTTTAATTTAAATTTAATTTAAATATGAAAAGTGAAAAAGAAAATATTCTGAAAGTTTGATTTTCTTTTAACGTTTTAGAAAAATTAAATATTTTTCGTTTTTAAAATATTTTTTTTTGTAAATTTATAATGAAAATTATAAGAAAATATTTTAGACGAAATATAAGAAATATTTTTGCAAAATTTTACTGAAAACGTCCAATTTTGAAACAGTGTTGAAAACATAAACCAAAACCCAATGTTTTAGTACTATGCATAGTAAAAATGTCATGAGCGTTCTCTATGAACACGGCTTCGACAACCAGAACGCAAAATAAGCCAATGTTAATCAACAAAAATGTTATTCAGTTAAAGGAAAAGAAGTAAAAATTTGTAGTCAAATTTTTTTTTTCATCGGGTTTTTATTAGTCACGACTTCTATAAATGGAATACTGTAAATATATTATTCTAGGTCCAGAAATTTATTAAAATTAATTAACGAATTTTCATTCGGTTTTTTGAATTTTTCATGTAATATTCATTGAGATAAGTTTTCCAGGATGGCAAGTTCGAAGTTTGAATCCGACCTAATTTAAGTAAATCTAAAAGGGGCTAGGGTAATATTTTACTTCTGTCAATAAAAAGACAGCTCAAGATACATCATTTATGTACAAACAATTCAACAAAAAGTACTAGTAAAAACTCGCTCTAACTGCTGCTCTTTTTCTTGTCGTTAAGTTTATCCTAATCTCTTCTAGAATAAAACTGTCAAAATTTTATTTTAGCCGCAATCGCATGAGCTTCCAAAAGTCGCAAATTTACCAAAAAAAAATTTTCATCATACGACTGCAATCCCTTTAAAGTTTAGTTGGTTTTTTTGAAAGCAAAATGTAAATTTGTTTTTTGAAACGGTCTCTTAGAAAATATGAATTAAATAACACATTTAACAAACATGTGGTTTCGCTGAAATTACGGTTTATTAACAAAAATAATATGTAAATATGCTTTTTTACAAGTCATGTTTCGATTTACTGCGTCATATGTTCGATTATGGTATTTATCTCTAATAAAATTATCTCTGACATATGGATGTGGATAATTTTTACTTCTTTAATTAATTGTTCTTCTTGAAAATTTTCCTCGAAAACCCCGATTTCTTCATAGCCTATCTTCTCTGTCGCACAAATTCTTTACACAAATATCAAAATTACTTTCAGTTTGTGCCTCAAGTACGCAAAATATTCAAGCGAAAAAGTAAAAAAAAAAAACCTTACAATATATTCCTATTCAAATTATTTTTTTTGCTCAAATATAGAGACAATTTAATAAATGTATTCAAATGTATTCAAATATATAGACAATTTTCTATGAATTATCTAGGATAATACAAGATTCTCAAAATCGTAGAGCCAATCTACACCCAATTTATTATTGCATAAAAACCGAAGTAAGTGTATAATGTATTTTGTACTTAAATATAAAAAACAGAAACTGGAGAATTTAATATAATTCTTTGTCATTGATATTTTTTTAGTTTCAATTACCATAACCAGAAAATTTTAAAACTCCCAAATTATAACCAGAAATGGAGAGGAAAAAAAAAGAAAACCAAAAATGAAAATGCAATCCTTTTTCGGTTTTTTTCGAATAATTTCCGGTTGCAAATTTTTACTCAAGATGAAATATCCTGAAATTTTAATTAGAACCATAAAAATGTCTAATAAATTCAAGGATTTAAGTAATTCATGGGCCCATTATTTTACTTATCATTTAATTTAGTCTATACTTGTTCTACTTGCATAATATATACGGGCAATAAAAAAACAATATTCATTTAATTGAAAAACAGGGTAAAAAGCAAATCCTTTATATTATGCAATCCTATATGAACCAAACTGTAACAATTTACTTTGATCTGAAAAGGATAATGACTTGGATATAGTCTGAAGCCATTAAATTTATATTATACTCGTAATATGTTTTAAGTAGACTTTTCATATTCATATAAGAAGAATATTTTACAAAGATAAAGTTAATGATTATTTTTTTCGTCTTTTTTTTGTTCTTTAAAACCTGAAAATTTTTAAAAATTTAAAAAAAAAAACCCTCATATTACTCAAAAGTTTTCAAAATGAATAATGAGTTAAATTACTTTTAAGCAACTTCTGCTATAATCTACAAATTCATTTTTAATTAAATTTGTATTTTAATTGAAATAATGTGCAATTTTACCTACATATATATGCAAATTTTCTATTACTGTATTCCAATAATTTCATCCCGACACATAAGAAGTTAAAATTTAAAATTTTAATAAATGATATGTCATTTTATTTACAGAAATCCCCGAATCTCCGAAATTTTGTGAGCTTAGAAATGAAACAAGTCTTGAAGTTGTTTGCATTGCCGGATCAGATGGTGGCCTATCACAACATTTCTTATTAGAAGTAGTTGGTGGAAATCCAGTTGATTTTAATGAAGTTGATAGTGAAGTTTCAACAATGAATGATCAAGTAATTCTAATAATATAATATTATTATGAAATCAATTAATGTTATTTCATTTAAAATAGGCTACATTAGCTCCACTTTATCGACTTGAAGAAGCACAACCGCTATTTCGATTGAATAATTTAGAGCCGGGACGTGAATATCAATTAATGGTTTATGCTGTCAATGCCAAAGGAAGAAGTGAACCACCTGTTGTTTTAGATAGAATACGTATAGGACCACAACTTTTAGGACCATATGGTAAGTTTACTGGGTCACAAATAAAAATAAATGAATTTATTGATGTATTGGATTTACAACGCCGAATAATTTGATTTAAAAAATAGCATATATTCTGTAAGACGTACAAATTATTGCCTATAGTAAAATATTCAATATTAAATTGGCAATTTAAAACGAATTGCCTCTCATTCAGAAATTGTAGATAAATACGACATAAATACAATCTGGAGGCAACACAAGTCAATATATGTGTCCCTGCTTGGTATTAGGAGAACAGAGAATTTGGAGTAAATGACGGCTTAAAAAAAACGAATAATATTCACATTTAATATCACATCATTAAAAACAAATTAAGAAGGTTCTTTGAACTTATAAAATATTTTATAAAAGTCTTAAAGTATTTTTAGAGCATTGACAACAACGAAAAAATATAAGAGAAACAAACCTTGTACAAAAATTAAAATATTTTAAAGAGTTCTTAAGAATCCTTCAGTTTATGAATAAAGTCCTTACCATAAGATAAGATTAAAATAAAAAATATTCCAGGGAATTGTTGAAATAATAAAGCAAATATCTGCAACACAATATTTTTATTCTAGAAAAAAAACTCAAAAGGTCATGTAGAATTTCGATTATGTCAGTCAGAAAACTAATTTTATATTTATACCGAATATAGCTTTCATTTTCATGTTCATGTCATAATAGTTACGTTCTCATTAATTTAAGTCCAAAAAATTATTATTAAAATAAATTCATTATTAAAAAGATACTTGAAATATCTTGACAAAAAATACCATCCTTAATATAATTAATAAAATTTTTTTTTAATATGACATTTAACAAAAAAAAAAAATATTGACATCATGACAAACGCAGAATACTCTAAGATACTTGATTCTCAATGTTTTCGCAAAAAAAAAAAAAAATATAATAGAGAAATAGTGAAAACATCGTGGAACAAAAAAATCCCATATATAGCTAGTTTTTATTTTATTCAGAAAAAAAAACAGAATTGTTAAAATAACGTTTCATAAACACCTACATATCCTTTTCAAAGCAAATCAAATAATAATAATAAAAGAGAAAATCTATAAATAATTCCACTTTGTACAATATGTCCTTTCTCATACAAATGTTATTTATTGGAAACCTCTTGACACTTAATCAACCAAACTAAAGAAAATAAAGAATAACACAAAAACGCAAACTACCTAAGTACATAAAAAGTTAAAAGTTCTATGGAATTTCTTTAATATCGGGTGGTATAAAAATGAATAAAAGAATAAAGAAGAATAAAAAAAGAAAGAGAAAAGCAAATTACTGTCCATCATCAAATTGAAAATTAATAAAAGTTTTCTATACCAGAAACCTAAAATCTAAAATGAAAGAAGAATAAAAAGTATGGAAAAACTATGCAATTGGCGTGAGTTAAGTATCAAAACTATTGAGTGTAAAAACTTTTAAAAGAAAAAAAAAAGCAGGTTTATTTGCTATTGCTTGAAAACGTTCACATTTTTGTTTTGAAAGGTTTTTTTTTTTGCTTGAATTTTGGTTTCTCTGTTGTATTTGACTGATTAATTAAATTTATTTGGCCTAAATTTTTTTTCCAGAATAAAACAAAAAAAATCTGATGTGGTCAGCACCTAACCGACCGTAATCTATGTTGTCTAGTTTAGTGAAAATATTACAGAAATATTAAGAAAATTCGTTTTAAACACTTCACTCTAACTTTAAGGAAACTAGTAAGCTTTTTGTAAACATACCTAAAAAATTGTTAATTTGGCTCTTAACACAGTTTCGCTTTATGCCATCCAAATTTCTTGAAAAGTTTACCAGTTAGTTTCGATAACAACCAGAACTCAAATATTAAATTTCAAGAAAATCGGTGAATTATTTCTCCTTATATGAGAAAAAACCTAAAATGCGAGACCTAAACATTCGAAAAATCCGCATAAGATCCAGTTCCCGAGACATGACATATTCCAAAAGTTGATTAATCCATGACATAGCCGAAGTAAACTTGCATATAAAATGTCATTAAAATCAATTCAGCAGAATTTGATATACGCGTGCACATATAGATCGGCAAACCGACAGACCGACAGGCCGACAGACAGACAGACCAACATCTCTCTAAAAATAGTTCGTTTACGCTTTCCTACTATTGAGAACTATTTTTCCACCAAAAATTTGACACCCAAAATTTGGTGACATCACATAGCCTACCTTATTGTATGCAAGGTGGTCGGTAAAAAATGAAAAACATATCTTTTCATTCACAAATAATAAAAGAAAATTTTATTGAATATGTGGAACAACTGTAAAGGGTATAACTAAATTTGTAAATTTGGATAGATTCAGATAAGAATTAGATTTAAATCATTTTTATTGACAGCTTTAAGTAAAAAATTTTATCGTTACATATCTTCCTTATATTTATAACTTCTTAGAAGCGATTTTTTCATTGTAAATTATATTTACCTATACCTTTAGCACTTGAAAACTTGATCGACTCGAAAAATAATTCGAAACACGAAATACTAAGTCACTTCCTCGTCACTTTATAATTGCAGTAGGATACATTAGTGCATTTAGGGGAAAATCGAATGTATGAAACAATATTTGTTAGTTCAGCTACAGCAATATGATTTACAGCAACTCAAGAAGCTTTATACTTAACAATATTGTCTATTGATAGACGACTTATTTATTTTCAATTTAATTTGTCTTTATTACAGTCACATTAAAATATTTAAATCACAAATATAAAAAATATTTTTTTACAAGTTTTTACAAAATATTTCAGACATTTTAACAATAAAAAGAATTTGATTGTAAAGAAAAGTAGATCAAACGAATAAGTTTACCTACTTACCTATACCGGGATTTTGTTATAGTTTTAAGCATTTCGACCTTTTTAAACTTTTGTCGAAAGCAAAAAAGGTTAGGACAAAGGAATGGAGATAAAACTTTACATACTTTGTAGCACAGAAAACTTTTTACGCTGTTTAGAAAGTATTTAAAAAGCAAATTGTTAAAATAGAACACTCAAAAAAAAAATTTCTCTCACAATGAGGAATTTAAGTCAAAAAAAAATTACGTTTGAAGTACTTTATTTAGTTTTTCGTATATAAAATGTAGACAGTTTTGAAATATAGGCAGATTATAGTGATCTGACATTTCTATTTAATTTCTATCTATTTCTGAATGCTTTCACAAACTGCATCTACTTCCATATACATACTTTCATATTTGAATAATTATAATGAAAAATCTTTATACATAATGTAAAATAGAAAATTTCCCAGGTATAGAAACAATTTATTTTATTTATTCCCGTTGGAATACTTTCTTTTCTACTTGTTTTTATTGCATTGAAACCGTTTTCAATTGTTACAAGTATTAAAAATAAACTAAATACAGGCGTCTCGTATTCTAGTATGTGCAAAATTTTAATGATAGACTTCCTATATTTTATGCATATACATAATATTCCCATAGGAATAGCAATTTAATATGCTAGTAAATTAAATTTCATTGAAAGCGTTGATTTCTGCACAATTGAAAATATTTTAATAAGATTTTCATGGAGTTTTTAAAAATGCAGTATGAAAATGATTATGGAATTTTCAAAAACTAAAAATTGACGAAATGAAAATTAATTTCAATTGTCGGTAGACAAATTAAATTTTTAAGGAAAAATTGAAAAAAAAAAAATAAATATGTGTGTGGACATATAACGCATAGATCAACTTTTGGTATACATTTTAGATAATTTTTAAGAATATATTAGACAAATTATTTTGAAATTTTACTATTCGAGAATAACATGGCACGGAAATTAAATTGTATCACATGTAAGAAACTATTTAACGAAATTGCTTGAAATTTAATAGTTAAGTTCTGTGTGCTAAGTAACTGGTCACAAAAGTGAACTTCTGCTCAAAACCTACATTCTCAGTTTAATCGTCATTCTCATAATCATTCGCAACACTTTCGCTTAAATAAATAAGATACTTTGCGGTCGGTTGCGTTCGATTAGATTTCTATTTCACTAAAATTATATTAAACTCCATAAGTTTTCGCCTAACTATGTTCCTTGAATAAAAAAAGTGATTTCTCACTTTGTATACGCTTTGTTTTTCTTTCAAACTCAAAACTAAATCAAAAACATTTTAAGGCAAAATAAATATTTAAATTACTTCAAAAATAAAATAAAAAGTCTCTAGTCAAATATCTCTTTCTATTTTATTCTATATAAATTATAATTTCATTAATTTTCTAATATCGCCATAAAATTCACTTATAATATTTAATATTTGTAGGAAAAAGCAATCTCTATAAAAATTTTTAAACATACTTGGAAAATTCAAGGTCATATTTTAAAAGCATTTTCATTTATAGTTAGCGTTATTCATAAAATTTAACGAGCTCTTTTAGGAAAACAAAAGAAAACCAAAGCAAAAAAAAAATATCCTAGAAAGGAGACATTAAATTTTTTTCAATAAATATAAATAACAATAAATAATCCTTATATATTTTACGATAGTGTCCTTTAATTGTTATTTATATAATAAGTATATATGTATGTACATATTTATTTCAATATCGACACATATTGTACATGTATAAGAAATGTAATACCTTTAACAATGAAAAAAGAAAAGTGTATTTGATTCGAAAATATATAGCTTTTAGGGGCGAACGTAGCATTCAAAAGATATAAATATTGCCTTTAAACATAATATAAATTTTCCTTATTCTTTGTATTTTTGAAAATCGTATTAATGCTTAGAGTGACATATTTAGAATGAAAATGTAATTTATGTGATTTTAATAAATAAATTAATACGTTTGTATATGTGTGTTATTATGTAAAAAAAAAAAATAACCGTAAATTATACTCTCAACATATAATAAGCAAATTAATGAACATACATGTTACATAATGTATACCATTGGTCTGTTGGCATTACTATATTAATGGCAAATTGTTCAATTTCTAGTCAAATTTTTAATTTTTTCAATTTACGAGTACAAGAAGAATTTGTCTCGTCTTTTGTTCGTGATATCGTTTTTTTTTGCAATTGAACTTATTTAATGCTACACTAAAATTGTTCAGTAAACAAACTCTTAAACTATTACAAGAAATATTCACAACATAAGCAGCTAATTAAAATTAATAGCTTCCCATGAAATTCTATTTTGAAAAGTTGATCTTAATTTTTAACACCTACTACTTAGGTTTTCGATTAGAGATTTACTCAATCATATTATGAAATTTCTTAAAAGAAGAGTTTTATGGAAATTTACGTCCTCTTGTTTGTATTTTCCATGGTTAGAAAAATATTCAAAAATTTTCAATTTTTAGTATATACTCTTACAATACAAGCCTTGGATTGAGTTCCGGTATTTCGTACGAAAAACAACGGCTACTGCAGAAAATTTAGAAAAACTTAACTTTAGCTAACTTCTCTTAATTTTCATAAAATGTGAGATTATAATGCCATATACGTGGCCATAAATTGCCGGTGATTTGATATGAAAATTAATACCTGCTTGTATCAATTTATCAAGAAAAAAAGAGAAAAAAATAAGGTTTTTTATGTACACCTTACAAATACACCTTTGGGTATTCATAAGGAAGATTAAAAAGAAAAAGATGTGATTTGTTTCGTTGTTGGGTCGCATATGTAAAAGTAAAGGAGGTCAAAACGATTTTAACAATAGGTTGTCATATATCATTGCGTATTTAAGTAATTAATTTAAGTTTATTTTTATCCTAAAATTTTATTCTTTTTTTTTTATATTAAATTCCCTTTTCAATCATTAACATACTCGTACAGTTTAGTTTTCTTTATATTGTATATTTCATCTTTTATTACATTATTCTTCTTTTATGAAAAGCGATAGCTCTATTTATGTACATACTTATAATCACAATATTATGAAGGAAGAAAATTAAGTTATATTATTTAAAAATAAACAGGATTCAGATAAATCTATTATGATAATAATGAAAAGATTAAAGAACTCTTTAAAGAAGATTGTTGGAATTGAATTTCATTGTATAATTTGTAATGCTATTCAAATGATTGAGTCAAGGCTAAAAATACTAATGAGTATAAGAATACTCCCCTAATTTCTTTGTTTTTCGATATTATAATCTGAGGACTAAAAGCAATAGTGTGTTGTTGATATTATTCACTTGAAAATGTCTTTAGTATTGCTTTTCCGATATTTTAGCAGTTAGAGTTTTCAACAGTTTATCAAAAAAGAACAAAACCATTCGATTATTTTTATTATTTGTGAGTAAAGTTTAAGGCTTCTTCAGTTTCACTTTGATCAAAAGTTATCAAACTGCTATTTATGCGAAAATCTAGAAAACATAGACTTTTTTAAACCACAGGCATAATTTTTAATTGATTTTTTGATTTTTATTTTTAAGAGAATAAGCTATAAATATTTTTTTTTGAATCAAAAAAGAAACCAGTATTAATTCCTTCAACACCTAGGTATTTATGTGGGTGTGGTTTGAGAGGTTATGATCTCAATTTATTATAATTCATTAAGACGTTGTTGTAATTGAAAATTTATATAAAAACCAAAAAAAAATTAATTATAATAGGCAATTTATTTAAAGAACAAAAAAAAACCAAATGTATATCCTAAATAATTATGCATAAATCTTACGTTTCACAAATCATTATTGAATTTTTTATTGAAATTTAAGATGTGAGCTAATTACCTATCAAATATTATTGCATTATTTAATTTATGCATTTCATACATTTGAAAAATTGAAAATGATAATTTAAATGATTCTAAAATTTGTTATAAGGAAGTTGCAAATTAATTCCTACATCTCCTCTTAAATTTGACCTTGCAATTTGTTAAAATTCATGCCAAACGAGAGAATTACTGGGAAATAAATGTTATATTTTAACAAATTTTCTATTGGAATAATAGAAATGAAATTATGGATGGAAAGTAATTAAATTTTTTTAATATTAAAAAATAAAAACGTGTTTTTTCCATTTGTCTTCAAAAAATTTGTCTGATTGCCTTGTTTTCATTTTGAGAATAACAGTTGTGAGGCAGTTATTTTGTTCTAAAGATACAACTATTGCGAGTGTTAAACACACTCACGGCTTATCACGTTATATTACGTTGTTTCAAGTCACGTCGTAGCTATCTCTAAAGGTCCAACCCCCAGCTTTCTATGTTTGGCTTTTATATAATTGTACAGATAAACATGCAACATAATGCTATTGTTGTAAGAAGAATATTAAAATGAGGACTGTAGTACATTGTAAAACAACAAATAAAGGTAAATACGAATTTTACGCCCTGTTATAGTTCTTTAAATTATTTCTCCAACAATTTTGCTTATAAGCTATATTACTTTGTTACTAAACTGCTTCTAGGAATTATTGTAATTGCTTAGGGTTAAGATAAATATGAGAAAGTTCCTATAATTCTGAAACTGTTTTTGTTCAAACCCTTTTTAAATACAACATAAAATTTTATTCTACTAAAAAACTTAATTGATTGCTTTTAAATTATAAAAATGTTTTAAGAAAATTTGTATTATGTGTTATTTATGTTAGATTTTCTTTTTTTTTCCCATTGTCTTAAAAAATTGTAAGAAAATATCTATAAATAAACTCTATAATTAATGTAGTTCATTATCCATAATTTAATAACATAATAAACCTTAATAATTATACCTACTTAATTTAGCTATATCAAGAATTTTTTGTTCTACCAAGAAGCAAAATATGTCTTACTTGGGGTATTGAAGAATTTTATTAAAAAATCATTAAGAAGGAATTTTTTATTCTTGGTGTATAAATAAACCAAGCTAAAAACAAAATTAAATTATTCACATTTCTAGACCTTACTGTTTTTAATTTTTTTTTCTGCATAAATTATTTTTAAAAATTTCTAATCTCTTTAGGCAGAAAGCAACAGTACGCCTGAATATATGCTATTCAAAACAAAAATTTGTTTTCTTGTATTATATTGATTCACAATTGCTTTATTTCAAGTTAAGTGTTATACTATATAATATATATATATATATATATATATATATACGAGTATACATATAAAATATATAATTTTTAACTTCTTATGTATTTTCTCTTTTTTCTTTACCATTTACTTTCATGCTGCCACATTATTCTATTAATGTATTTTTTTTTACCTTGGGCATCACCATTCTTACTTTGTATATAATTCTTTTTTTTTCTAATATACTTGACAACAAAAATACCATAATTTGCTTGCCATTATAATCAATTTGCTGAATGAATAAAATTAAAAAAAAAAAAAACAAAACGCAATATTTATACCTACGTAAATTTTAATATATTTATAACGGTACATCATAATATCTACTGATATATTTGTGTATAACAAAAAAAAAAACAAAATTAAAAATAATTCTTTATAATATAAAGATGAAACAATTTTATCAGAAGATCCAACTCCAGCTGAAACAACCCATCAACGGAATGATAAACAATCAACACTAGTTATAATGGCTGCTGTTATGGCTGGTGGTGCTATAATAGTGACGTCAATTATTGTTACAGGAATTGTTGTTGCCTGTAGGTATCGACCAAGACCACCTGAACCGCAAGATGTTCGAAAACGAATGAGGTAAATAATTATTATTATTGTTTATTTTTGTTTTTTTATTTTTTTTTTTTCTATGAAACATACAAGTACACATAATGTAAAATAGAGAAGAGAATGAAGAAAATTTCAGTATAGGAAAAAAAGAAAACATTTTTTTTTAGTTCTGCGTCTTTTTTTTTTTAGATTCAACAATGTTATTATTGTTATTTTTGTTCTTCTTTTAAATGTTTGTTTTCAAAAAAAAAAGTATAAAAAGACCTTGACCCTCACAACATTATTTCTTTAATAAAAAGCATTGTTGAAAGCGAATAATTCCCAAGTTGAAAAATATTTTCTCCATTTCTTCCTCTGTTTGTTTTCTTATTCTCTTATATTATTTTCCTTATTTTATCTAAACAGCGAAGGTGGACTGCATAATAACACTGTGTCTGTACCAAAAACACACACAAAAAACAAAGACAGAAATTATCGTTGAATACGATAATGTTAAATATAGTCATTTTTGTTTATTTTAAGGATTGAGCAGGAACAGGAAAAATAACAAAAATATGAAAATCTAAAAGATGAAAACAAATTATGAATCAGAAGGGAATTTAAATTAAACCGTAGTAGCTTTAAAAAAAAATTATAAATGAAATAAAGAAATTTAATTTTTCATTTTATTTATTTTAACCACAAATGTATTGAGATCGTTTCGCGATTTCATTTTTCACATTATTATAAAAAATATTGTGTGGAGGAAACTAACGAAATTTAAATTTTTGTTTCCTATCACAAATTTATAGATAAATTTACTCATACAACACTTACCTCAAGATTCAATGCCTCTATGAATATTATAAATATTTTTTTTTTATTAAGTGAAATTTAAAAACATTTTGACTAAAATTCTCCTGAATATTTTGCTATCGTATTTTAGTTAAAAAAGAACTCTGTACATTTATTAGGTTCACAAGTATGTATACATATGTATAAAATTATAAGTCCCCGTAGAAAGCATTTCAATTCTACACTTTCATAAACATACTTTATTATTTTCAGTTATTTTTCTTCGAAAAAAAAAAAACAAGAAAAAATAATAACAATTTTTTCGTTTGTTGATATAAGAAAATTGTTTCAAAAGCACGTGAATCACGTTATATATACAATAGTGTCCCCAAGGATACCGTATGAGTTATTCAATCTGTTCTTTTTACATTTGAATTTATTCTTGTATATATTTATGTACATGGAATGTTTATTTTTGTATTTTTTTTTCTGTTTAAGTCGTAAAATCTGTTAATATTTTTTTTTTTGATATTTACTTTCATATTTTAGTATTTATTTTTCGAGTTATATATTAAGATCATTCCTACGCTCATAATTTTTTCCGCAAATTTATTTTGTATGTAGGAATATATTATTGTTTTTCTTATTAAATGTACCCAAATAGAAATAGAGTAAAATTTAAGTGATAATTTGAACTTATACGCACAATTCTTATTTATAATTTCATTTTTGGCTCACATGGTTTATAACTTTAATAATTTTATGTGTAATTTAATTGAATAAAAAATGTTACTTCATATTTAAAATTAATTTACATGATAAGATAATATTGAATTTGCAGTATGAAAAGGTTTAATTGAAGATTTGTTTTCCATTATGTTCAACTTTTTTCAGAAATCTTTTTAAATGCGAAAACACTATTCTGTACAATAAAAACAAATTGATTGTAAATTTTCCACAATATGTAAAGGAATTTGAATAGCTGCCATTATATCAATTCCAATAACTACGAGTATATGTATAGTAAAAATTTTGGTTAAAGTTAAAAATCAAAATAAAACTCAGGACAAGGTTTATGGTACATTTATCAAATCTGCTCAAGAAATAAAGACCGAGTTTATCAATAAAAATCTTCTTAAGATTCAGATACTTTTATTATTTTTATATTGAAAATATTTTTTGATGAAGATTTGATACACTGATGTTCCATTCCTTTGCCAGAAATCCATCATCAGAAATTTTTTTAAATAGATGCATGGTGTGATAATATTGGGAAAAATTTTGGTTCGACATTATGAATTGGAATTTCTTAATGGTATATCACAAGTTTAGTGAGAGCTACATTTAATTTACTACCCCTCTAACACTGTAGTTCATGTCAATGCGTTCCAATCTTTAATAGCTTCTATAATGAAAATAACTAAGAAACTTTAAATTATAAATGAATTATAAAAAAAACTCATTTGTTTCTGAAATTTTATTGTTGACTCACTTTCATTCTAATTAATTTAACATATCGTAACAATTATGCTAAAAAGTCTTATTAACAAAATTAAGTGGCCCAAGTCAAGCATTATGAATCTTGAAAAATTTTGGAAAGCTGGTTGAGTTACCTAAACTGCAAATGCTATGAAGGAAAACCATACAATTACTGAAAAAAATTTAAGAGCCTAGAGCGATAAACGTGATATTTTGTCCTTAATGGTTTTTTATAATTCATCTTAATTCGGAAATTTAAGCCCAAATAAATTATTTTATATCTATCGGTCCTTATAAATCTCAATTACCTTAATATAATATGCAATCCACACTTCTTCAATACAATACAAGAATGTATATGTGCATTATTCTTTGAAAAAATTTTTCTGCTGTTCCTGTTTAATAATTTAAAATATCATAGGTATAAGTAATAAACGAGAAAAAAAATAGAGTTGACCTTGTCAACTCTGTGATACCCGTACGAATTTGTTATCCTATGTGCGAATAACTAATGTGCCATAACTAACTATGGGGCAGACTATGACTTTAAGTTGCCGTATTACCATATTAATTTATGCAAAATTTCAGTACTATGTGTTATTCAAAATACTGGTTGTGCCAAACTACTAATGATGTTGTATGGCAGCTACCAGAAAGAGCCAAGAAATTTTAGCGAATTTTATCAAGCACATCGGCCCTACTAATATACTCACTTGTGTGAAATCTCAATATCACAGCTTTTATAGTTTCTGAGATATAGTCAAATAACTTTTGAAGTAGTATGGCAGTTACCAGAAGGAGCCAAGTAATTTCAACGACTTTTATGAGACACATTGGCCCTACTAATATATTCGTTTGTGTGAAATTTCAATACTATAGCTTTAATAGTTTCTGAAATATAGTCAAATAACTTTTGAAGTTGTATGGCAGGTACCAGAAGGAGCCAAGTAATTTCAACGACTTTTATGTGGCATATTGGCCCTACTAATATATTCACATGTGTGAAATCTCAATATCACAGCTTTTATAGTTTCTGAGATATAGCCAAATAACTTTTGAAGTTGTATGGCAGCTACCCGAACCGGTAACCCGATCATGTCCAATTTAAATAGGGTTCTGGCACTTACTACAATAAATCATTTGTGAAAATTTGGTGAGCTTAGCTCAATTAGTTTTTGAGTTATCGTTCGGACGGACGGACGGACGGACGGACAGACAAAGCTAAATCAACTCAGAATTTGACGCTGATCAAAAACATACACTTGAGTCTATATCTAACACCGTTATTTCTTAGCGTTACAAACGGTAAGGCAAATTTAGTATACCCTTCGAACATACGTTCGTACGGGTATAAACAGTGGTAAAAACTATAAACTAAAATTTGGTTCTTTGACTATATAACAGGAAAGATTTCTTAAAAGAACAAATAAGTAGTGCACAAAATAAACAGAAGATTATAATGTGGTGTGTGCGGTTCACTTTATGCAATTAAATTCATTCAACGTAATGATCACAAGCAACGTGATTATTTGAATTTATGCTTTAATTGAAATTGCAACACAGTATATGCACTTCTTTTTGCTCATATCAGGATGATGGCATTATAGAATTGTAGACTCGTATGAAGTATGAAGTTGTTTACTTCACTTTTAAAACTTCTCCTTTGATTATCATAATCTTTATTTTCAAAAATAACATATTTGAAAATATTTCAACTTTGTTGAAATATTTTCAAATACATCATTTTGTTGGTTCTCTTAAAAAATTTTCTTTGTACATGTTTCTGTCCTCCTTATTTAATTGCACGTCTTATATTATATCATATGCGTCTTTTCGTATATACCTGCTGCTTATCCTTTGTAATTTTCTTTTTCGTATGTATTAGTTTGACACAATGTTTTAAAAAAAAAAAAAAAAACATTTTTTATTTGTTTGGTATAAAAATGAGCAAGTACACGTAATTGGTAAAATAACTAAAGGTAGAAAATTTTTGTTTGATCACAAGGCTTTAATAATATGAATGAATTTTTAGGTCAGACGTTACCGTATACATTCGCGTAGACTTTTATTATGTTATATCAACTTACTATTATAATTGTATAAAATTCCATAATATTTTTTCATACTATATCTTACTGAGATTCCATAAAATATGATGAAGTGTTAAAGGTTTAAAAAGGGTCCTTTATTATTAAATTATTTTTTAAAACTAAAAATAATTGAAAATAATACATAAGAATCTTTTAAAAAGCTCAATTAGTTATTTAGTTAAATAGTACTAAGTTTATACTATTTTTGTTTTTTAAGAAAATCTTAATTAAAGTTCTACAGCACTAGCATATTAAAAATAATTCTATATAGAGCTGTTATAACTCATTTAATTTTATTTATATTTATTTAAAAGAAACTTAAATACATGCTTATTGCAACATTACACTCAACGATGCGTTCGACTTTTCTCTTAGTACTTTTTTTTATTTAGAAAAATGATTGCTTATATTACGTAGAGCAAGATATCTAAATCAGTCCTCAAGAGGCCCTTAAAACTACATTACAGCTACAGAAATTTTGCTGCTATTTTCCGCTGATCAAATTATCGGATCTTATTTTCTCAAATATTGAAATTTGAATAGAAATTTGAACGGACAAAGGATTTTTTAATCATTCTCCGAAATTGTGCGGCAACTTTCCTACCTAAATAGAAAAAATCAATTTTTTTAGATTCTCCAAAATTATGAATTAAACTTGTAATATTTTACAATGTATGTAGTTCT